ACTCAAAGGAATCTCAAGTCCTGTTCCTCCAGGAAGCCCTCCTTGACTACAAACATATCTGGACTAAGCACTCCCATCAAAAGACAAAGTTGTGTGTGCTCCCAGGCCTCTGAGGAGGAAGCATAATTTATCCTACTTGCCTTTTCCAAAGGATAAAGGGAATGGCAGTGCTCAGGGCTCCCAGGAAGGAAGCCTAGTCTCTCTCCTTCCTGGAGGGTATTCTACTTTCACAGTCTATTTGTAGATCCAAAGAGGGCCATGATTTTAACTGCAGCAAATTCTTGTTGGTTCAAGGTGGGGTATTCCCATGAGAATTCCCCTTCTTTAAACTTCGCCAGATATTTGGCTCCATCTCATCCCTTGGCTGTCTGTTCACTGGCCCTCATAGAACTGGAATCCAGACTCATAGAGGCCAAATCTTGTCCTCATTTCCTTATTCTTCATTCCAACATGCCAAGAACAGTACTGGGCATTCAAACATTCACTAACGACATTTGAAAATGGATCGCATTAACAAAATAAATAAAGGAAAGAAACTGACATGATGTGGTCAAAAGAAGTACGAAGCACTTTCACGTGTCATTTGGCCATCATGCCACCTACACGGAGGCAGACCAGGCACTCTCCACCCAGTTTGCAAAGGAAGAGCTGAATTGCCCGATGTCCCCCAGGATGAAGGGCTGACTCAGACCCTCACGTCCTGGCCACCCTGTTTCTGCCTATCTCGAAATAACTCATTTGCTCTGAAGATGAACAAGAGTGTGTTTAAACTGCATGAAAAGGGAGATTTGACTCTTAACAACTTAGCTGCTAAGAATGAAGTCCTGAATCAGATTAAGAAATGTCTGTATAATTTAACATATGAGAGGGGTTCCTGCTCAGTCCGATGCTAGCTTATCCAAAAACTGATAAATGAACTGGATGATCTGCAGAGATTCTTTCCAAGCTTGGGATTCTTAATGAAAAGGCTGTCTTAATGAAAATACTGAAGGAGAGGAAGCTGGCTCCCCAGTCCTTGAATGGGCACACTGAAATCCCAGACGGGGCTGCTGGCAAGCAAGAATTCCCCATTATCTGAGAACTTCCCATTCCTATGGCTCCAGCGGGATCTATTCTGGCTCAGTGTACTTTTTGGCCACTTCTTTGGGAAATACAAACTCAATAGAATGTTGGCCTTGGTTTAATTTTAGCAAGGTAAATCTCATTTATTTATTTTTTTTGAGACGGAGTCTCGCTTGTTGCCCAGGCTGGAGTGCAATGGCGCGATCTCAGCTCACTGCAACCTCGCCCTCCGGGGTTCAAGCGATTCTCCTGCCTCAGCCTCCTGAGTAGCTGGGATTACAGGGGCCCACCACCACGCCCAGCTAATTTTTGTATTTTTAGTAGAGATGTGGTTTTGCCATGTTAGCCAGGCTAGTTTCGCGCTCTTGACCTCAGGTGATCCGCCTGCCTAGGCCTCCCAAAGTGCTGAGATTATAGGTGTGAGTCACTGCGCCCAGCCTAAATCTTAATTTTTTAAAAAGCTAGAATAAACTCTAAAGTCAGCTGTTGATTACACCAACACAAATACTCAAAGCTAAACTGAAAAACCCAGATTGACTTCTCTCTTCCACCAGGCAGGTGGAATGCAAACTCATTTCCGTGTATGTTTACAAAGAAAAACAGGGTGGTAAATTAGCAGGGTGTGGTGGCAGGCACCTGTAATCCCAGCCACTTGGGAGGATGAGGCACGAAAATCACTTGAACCCGGGAGGCAGAGGTTGCAGTGAGCCAAGATCGCACCACTGCACTCCAGCCTGGGTGACAAAAGGAGACTCTGTCTCAGGAAGATAAGACATTACGTGGATAATATGTACAACCAAAACCCAAGACAAATTATCGCAATGATTTGAGGAAGACCAAAGGCCTCCTCAGCCAGCTTTCCCACCCCATCCTTATCCCTTATCCCATCAGGAGAGAGCTTCATTACCTGGGTGGCCTTGTCATTGGTGCAGCAGGTGAAGGCCCCATCAGCATCTCGTGGCCACTGGCCCAGAAGGTAGGAGCTGAGGATGGTGTCCAGGGAGAATGTACGCCGGACCTGAAGTGGCTGAGGCCTAGACACTGACTTTTCTGGGGCCACCGAGCATGGGACGCTGGCTACAAGAGAACACAGCCCGCACACCTTGCCATCAGCATGGAGGAAGGAGACGTGGCAATCACCTTCCTCCTCTAAGAGATGTGGCCTGCCTGCCTAGTCTTCACTCATACCCACCACTGTCCTAAAAGAATTTGAAGCAGCCTGAAACAGCACATATGGTCTGACAAGAGCTTTCCTGACCTACTCAGCCAGCTTTTATCATGGGAAACAATTTATACCATTTTACTTTGGACTTGGACATTACTTTATAAATGTCCTCTATCCTTTTCCTACCCCTAATGGACTATGAACCATGAACTCCTAGATCTCCACACTGAGTTTCCTGAGAGCAGCACTGTTTCCCATCATTAAAGATAAAACTCTAAGTGGATAAAAAACAAATTTTCTTCTGTCTTTTATCTCCTGCCCTTCTTCCTCCAGCACCTTTGCAGGGCTTAGGCGCTGCACAAATTCATCCCCTTAACTGAAGGCCTCCTGCTCCTCTTCATACTTCCTTCAGGACTGGTTAGCTCCCTGGGGAACCCCGGTGGCTGACATATTGGAACTACTTTCAATTATCGAGGATTGAGGAATCTAGTTTACGGAAATATCCAAATTTTTTGGTTGTCTCCTCTGTCTTTGATTTCTATATAAATGGGACAAAAATAAAGCAATTATAAATCCATTCATAGGTGGTGGCTCACGCTTGTAATCCCAGCACTATGGGAGGCAGGCAGGTCACTTGAGGTCAGGAGTTTGAGACCAGCCTGGCTAACATTGTGAAACCCCGTCTCTACCAAAAATACAAAAATTAGCCAGGAGTAGTGGCAGGTGCCTGTAATCCCAGCTACTCAGGAGGCTGAGGCACGAGAATTGGTTGAACCTGGGAGGTGGAAGCTGCAGTGAGCCAAGATTGCACCACTGCACTCCAGCCTGGGTAACAGAGGAAGACTCTGTCTCAAAAAATAAATAAAATAAATAAATCCATTCATTTATTTTTACTTTGGTTAAAGCTTTCTAGAAGGAGGTAAAAGTTGAAACTGTGGATAAAAATGTAAGCGTACTGGAATCATTTGGAAGTTGCAATCATCTAAGTTGACCCTGTTTTCCATGGCCACATTCAAAACACTCTACTATCTTAAGATCTATGGCCGGCCGGGCGCGGTGGCTCAAGCCTGTAATCCCAGCACTTTGGGAGGCCGAGACGGGCGGATCACGAGGTCAGGAGATCGAGACCATCCTGGCT